AGAGATAAGGGTAAAATAGACAATTAACTCATAAAATGACAAAAAATTGTAAAAGTTAATGTGAAGGTATCTGTAAGAGAAACATTATTCAACATGAAAATATGTGGTGACTGGACTCGATGGGGGTGAGTGGAGATTGGGGTTGGATTTTGATTATTTTTCCCTGTGCTTAGCACCAAAATAATATGGAAATAAGTTGCTCAAAAGCTGAGCAAAACATGTTGGGACATTCTTGTTTTCCTTGTGAAAATGTCACTTGTACAGATTTTAGTAATATTATGGTTGACATGACATGTGTTGACAAGTGTTGATTAGATGAAAAAATTGTCAAAAATGTAAACTGTTCAACGAGATTGCCACGTGACAAAATGTTAAAACTAATTTAAATGATCATGTGCATGGAGTAGCACGATTGATCTGATTAGGTGGCCATAGTCAAATTTTCCGAATCTAACACATTTATATTAAACTATAATAATGAAATGAAATAGCAAGTCCAAACAAATTCCAGTTTATTTTAGGCTTAGCAGCAAAAGCGGTATCCGTATCTTCCTCTGCTACCTAGCATCAACACATTTTAAATGTCGAAATCCCTTCAAGTGGCGGTGATCGGAGCCGGCGTCGCCGGACTTGCTTCTGCCCGCGAGCTAAAAAGAGAAGGCCACCGCGTTGTGGTGTATGAAAAATCAGACCAGCTTGGTGGAACATGGGTTTACGATCCCCGAGTCGAGTCTGACCCGCTCGGCCTTGATCCCAACAGAGAAATTGTACATGGAAGTCTTTATTCTTCTCTCTGCACTAATTTACCCAGACAACTTATGGGGTTTTCAGATTATCCGTTTGAGATTAAGAAAAATGGAGAAATAAGGACTTTTCCCAGTCATGAAGAGGTGCTCCAGTTTCTGAACGAGTTTGCCAGGGACTTTGGACTCGTTGAATTGATACGGTTCAATACTGAAGTTGTCCGAGTTCAACGAGTCGATTCCAGAAATGATCTGTGGATGGTTAAGTCAACGATGAGTGGGCTGATTCAGGAGGAGACGTTTGATGCTGTTGTCGTGTGTAATGGCCACCACACTCAGCCAAGAATCGCCAATATACCAGGTACACACACTGATACACATTGAACCATTTTCATCGTATCCTTATCCTTCTTGGATCGACTATAATAGAAATGTCCTCCCCCCGACCCGACTGGTGTGGGTATGTCTCATGATTTTGCATATATTGATTTTTTATTTTTTAAAAAAATTTAAAATGTTAAGAGGCTGTCATCCAATCCCGGCGGCTCCATAGTCAATAGAACCGTTGCACTCAAATATTTCTCCGGTTGGGAGGCGCCTGAGAAAGAAGTTGGTGGGCCGGTATTTTTTTTTTTTATTTTTCTATAAAAAATTGGTAACTTGACAGTAAAGGCTTGTTTTCCGGGTCAAAGTCTCCTTTTCATTGCTCCCTCCAACTTGGACTTGGTTAAAAGAATTAATTTTCTAGCATAAGCAAATTATAAACCAGGGGCAGAGTCACGGATTCATTTTTTGGGCTGAACTTTTAAAAAGTGTATAAATAATATTTGTATATTACTCAAAAAAACTATTATATGAGATGTCATACTAAATCATGTTCGGTGAAAATTAAAATTCAGATTTTAATCTAAGTCGAAGTTTACAATTAATTTTAACTATACATTTTATGGGATCCATCACTTTCATCAATATCTATTAAAATTTACTAAAAATCTGATTTTAATTTCCACCAATCAAGGGCTAAAAGTGTAAAGTCTGAAATACTTATGTGATAATTGAAAAGGTCAAAATCGACGAACCTTTTTTTATTTTTGGTCAAAATCACAAAAATCATTCAGACATGCCTTTAACGCCCTTAACATAAGCAAATAAAATGCAAAAACAAGCGCATGTACAAAAATGTTTTGGTCAATCAAATACTTTAATAAAATTATGCTTTTATAATTTTATTTGATTTGTTTTGAACATTTTAGTTGATTTTAAACCATCTTGAAGATAATCAAATTCAAGTTAATTCTAAATAAAGTCGAGCATTCACATATTTTCTGTTTAAAGAGAACGAAAAAGACAAAGAAGCGCATGTACAAAAATGTTTCTAAGAATTCGTTAGGCAAAAGTTGACTACTTCCCCTTGAAATGACTTGATACCATGTGTTACAAGTTCCTTTTTTAATCACTAATTATTTCGTTTTTGAAAGGCATCGAGAAATGGCCCGGGAAACAAATTCATAGCCACAACTATCGAGTTCCTGAACCATTCCAAGACCAAGTAAGCTCCTCTTTGTGTAATTTTCTTGATTAGTTAAATTCAGTTGCAGTACTTTTAGGAAAATTTTGTGAACATCGAATTGGTGATGTTCCAGTTTTTCCCCATCAGCGAACGTTCTGAAAGAAATTTTTTAAGTTTAGTAATCAATTTGGTGGAACGTTTCTGAGTCTAGTGACATATTTGGAACAAAATGAAGTTCATTATGGCCACTTGTTCATGTTCGTAGATGTTAAAGTCATCGAATGAGTGAATATTGGTTCATACTATTGTTCGTGCGTGTGGACGTACGCCTGTATTTGCACACGTATAAGTATGCTTGTTTGTATGTACGTATACAGGTTGTGGTCGTGATTGGAGACAGCGCTAGTGCACATGATATCTCTGGAGAAATTGCAAAGGTAGCTAAAGAGGTTCACCTTTCATCAAGATCCCCTGGAGTTAAAGTTTCAAATTATGACAATGTTGGGCAGCATTCAAAGGTAAATTTCTTTGCACAACCAATGATATACATGCTCGTTTTGGTTATGCGTACAATACCCTTTATTCTGCAGATTGAATGTGTTTTTGACAATGGAGAGGTTGCTTTCGAGGATGGTTCGTCTGTCCGTGCCGATATTATTTTTCACTGTACAGGGTATTTATCAGATCTTTTTCCCTTTTTTTTTTTCATTTTTCCCAAAGAAGACAAAGTATTATTTGAGTTGCTTTAAACGTTTTTACAGGTACAAGTTTAATTTTCCATTCCTAGAAACAAATGGAATTGTAAGTGTGGATGATAACAGGGTTGGACCCCTTTACAAGCATGTTTTTCCTCCAAAGCTAGCTCCCTCCCTCTCTTTCGTTGGAATACCTTATTGGGTGAGTTCAATCCATTACCTAGTTTGAATTACTGAGAAAATTAAGGAATTAAGCATGAAATTAGGGACTGATCAAGTGCTAGTAAATGGATATAATTAGGACTCAAATGACCAAAACTGCAACCCAGTCACTAACCATGGTAGAAAATTTCTTGGAAAAAACAGGTGCTTGTATTTCATATGATGGAATTCCAAGCCAGGTGGGTGGCACGTGTTTTATCCGGTAAGGTGCTTCTACCATCGGAAAAGGAGATGCTCACTGACATCGAAAAGCATTACCAACGTATGGAGGAAGTCGGCAAACCCAAACACCACACTCACAGCCTACATTCTGATGAGGTATTCCTATCATTATTCCATTTCCCTTATATTTTCTTTTCCGCAAAATCCAATCAGCCTATTCGCCTTAACCTGAATAGAGGATTTGGCATTATCCCCTGCCCAAGTTTTTTAATTTCAAAAGTTTGTTCAAAGAGGGAAACATTCATCAAAGAATACAAATCAATACAAGAGGTTCTAAACTGTTAAAGTTACACTTCACGCTCGAGTCATGAGATTTCTCCAGCCAAATCTTGAAGATTACGTCTTGGACTTTCTCTCTTTATATTCCGTATTAGTCAACCAATTTGCATTTTTTGGGGGTTAAAATTTGCGTTTGTTGGCAGTTTGAGTACCTAGACTGGCTAGCTGCAGAAACGGGAGAAGCAAAAGTGGATGAGGGGCTCAAAAAGAAATACAGGACAATTTACAAAGTACTTGCCAAATTTCTTGCTGATAGAGGGCGGCTTAATTTTAAAGAATTGGTGGTGGAAACTGGTGTCTTTGAGAAGTAGATGAAGGGAGCATCCCTTTCATTTTAAGTATTTCTATTATTTCTCGTAATTTATATGGTTTATGTAACCAATAAAGTCTTCCTTATTATGGACATAAGCAATTTATTTAGTTTTACCTCCATCTCGACGGGACCTTATAAATCTACATTGCAAATTTTATTCTTTCTTTTTAGACCAAAAAAAAACATATAATCAATCCAAATGGCATGTTTTATCAATAGTAAACAAAAATGTAGTAAGATCTTTGAATAGTGCTAAGTTTGACCTCCAACTTAAATGTGCAAAAGAAAAAACGTGCCACATCTGGCGATGAAAGGACGGTGTCAAAGCTAAAGAATTACACCTCCTCAATTTAACCTTAATCATCGGGATCATATTCAAAGTGTAGTATCTGTTTACTCCAAAAAACGTACAAAAAATGTGGCCAATAGATTCCAAGGTCTCTTATGTCTACGTAAGTTGGATTCCTACACAATTGGACAAACCGTTAGTCACACGTGGCCTTCTCCGGAGGGGGCGGAGTTGGCCGCGTGCACTCCGACAATTAAGTCAGTTAGAGAAATAATTTAGAGTGTGAGAGAGTTTCGAACGTGAGACTCCAGTAAATAAAAAGAGGGTCGGCTTGGGGATGAATGGTAAAAATATGTGTAGTAAGAATATAATTTTGAGAGTCTAAGCTTGCATTACCCTTGAATGATACTAATGTGAGTTTTTATACTTGAACAAGATGAGCGAAGCCCGTCGGATGATAGGACACGTGGCCTCATCACAACGACTGACCTCTCTTGTCATATACATCAATCAATCACGTCATTAAATGCTAAGGCCACTTTTGTATCCATAAGGCCTAGCTTGGCGGCTTGGACTTGACCACATAGGTGTGCAGCAGTGGCGATGGCAATGAGTTGTCTTGTCAATCATTCAGTACAAGATCTGTTGAGGATCTTGCCATTGTCTCGTCTGGACCGGATCCTACATTGGGGGTCTACGTACAATGGGGTCGGTCCAGTCTCATCCGGGTCATCTTTACATAATTGGGTCGTCCGCGTCATTGTGTAAGTTGTGGGGCCCCCAAACTATCCGCCACGTAGTTTAATTAATGCCACGTGCGACCCTTAGTTTATCTATGCGTAACAACAGTTTCCGAAATTCAGGTATGATTATTTATATAATGAGTAGACTTTTTATAGTTGAAGAAGAAAAAAGACTTGGGCATAACAATATCTCTTTGGACCGCGATCACTTTGAGACTCGCTATTTCAAGGGACTGAATAAATTAATTTTGGTACTTTTAAAGTTCATCAAGTTTACCATCAGAGGAGTCCTAGGATACACTTGTCCTCGAGAAACATGATGTTTGTGCTATGATATTCAATCTCATAATACTTCAATTATTGTCGACTAATTGTTCAATCGGATCTTTGTGCACTTATTGACTTATTCGTAATGCCACAAAATCATCCTTCCGAAAACATCTTTTACATTTTTGTAAACATGTTTGGATAATTTACTTTTTAAGGTATATTTTTTTAAAAACAATTACATTAAGAAAAATAATTCTTTATTTGAAATATCAAATAAAAACTTATTTGTTAACCGTCACCTATTATTTTAAATTAATTTTTAACTTATAAGTAAATTTACACTTAAAAATAATTGACGGTGTGGTTTCATGAAAAATAATTCGTCTGTCCGTCTTTCCCGCAAATAATCCAAATAATCTCAGGTCAACTTAGAAGGAGCACGGTATCTTATCGTCCTCTCCAAAACTCAGCATAATCAAAATATTCAATGGCGAAATCGTTAAAGGTGGCGGTGATCGGAGCCGGCGTCTCTGGACTTGCTGCCGCCCGCGAGCTTGGAAGAGAAGGCCACCACATTGTGGTCTATGAGAAATCAGACCAGCTTGGCGGAACATGGGTGTACGATCCCCGAACGGAGTCCGATCCCCTCGGCCTTGATCCCAACAGAGAAATTGTACATAGCAGTCTTTACTCCTCTCTCTGCACTAATTTTCCCAGACAGCTTATGGGATTTTCAGATTATCCGTTTGAAATCAGGAAAAATGGTGAACTGAAGACTTTCCCGGGTCATGAAGAGGTGCTCAAGTTTTTGAACGAGTTTGCCAGGGATTTTGGACTCGATGAGTTGATTAGGTTCAATACAGAAGTCGTCCGAGTTGAACGAGTCAATGATAAGTGGATCGTTGAGTCCAGAACAAAAAAGAGTGTTTTGAGTCTGGAAGAGGCGTTTGATGCTGTTGTAGTGTGTAATGGTCACTACACTCGACCAAGAATCGCGATGGATATTCCAGGTATACAGTAAACGTACCATTTCATTACTATAAAATAAGTTTCAATAATAAATTGAATACATATATACAGGAAACTCTACATGATTTGATGAAGCATGAAATTAAAAGATTTTGGGAGCTTAGTAAAAGTACATGTACGTTTGTATTTGATTTGATTTTAAACCATCTTGAAGATGATCAATCTCGTTTTAATCCTAAATAATTCGAGCCTTGCATATAATTGTTTAAAGAGAGAAGAAAAATAAGCTCTTATTTCTTATGGAAGTGTACCTATTCCCTTGGACAGTGCTACTCACTAATTAGCTTCGTTTAGGCATCGAAAAATGGCCTGGGAAACAAATTCATAGCCACAACTATAGAGTTCCTGAACCATTTCAGGATCAGGTAAGCTCCTCTTTGTCGAATTTTCTTGATCATAGATGTTAAGAGCATCATTAATGCACGAAAAATGCTTCGCCTATGTGTGTGCGCGACCTGTGTATATGCACATATATGTATACAGGTTGTGGTTGTTATTGGTGATAGTGCCAGTGCACATGATATCTCCAAGGAAATTGCAAAGGTAGCTAAAGAGGTTCATCTTTCATCAAGATCCCCCAGTGTTAAAGTTTCAAAGTTGGATTATCATGACAATACTTGGCAGCATTCGAAGGTAAGATTCTTCAACATATTCGTAATCCATGCTTCGTGTTTTGTTTTTTATTGTTTTACATTTTGAATTGAAGATATATACTTTGTCAACATCATAGAATTTTGAATGGAGTCCTCTGACAATAGCGGTTAAAGTAGACGGATAATTGCTTTAATGAACATTCTGATGAAGAGAATTTGTACATGAAAATTTTGTAAGATGTTGTAATGAAAAAGCCCCTAAACTTTATAATCATTTATCCCGATGGTTTCTTCTTTTTATTCGAAAATGAATTACAAATGCAATGAACATATTGAAAATATGAATATATTTAGCTCCTGTTTGACAACCATTATTTCTCGTTTTTTTTTCTCATACTTATTTTTAACTACACATTCTCATAATAAATTATTCTTCAAGTAAACCCAAAATTTCCTTCAAAAATTCTTTCCAAAAAAATTCTATCGAACGGGGGCTTAGTCTTTTTTATAACATGATTTTTAGATGAGACGATTATACAATCATTCGATAAAAATGAATTATATCCATTCGATTTGTTTGTGGTGGAAATTGGTTTAGAAGATTGAAAATTTAGTTAAGTGTCAAAACCAAAAAAACATGGCAAAGTGAATTTCTTGTCAACTTCGGCCAAATATTCGGACTTGATCCGATGGTCAAATTACAAATGTAAACAGACTAACTTGTTCTACTCGTCGAGTAGATCGTCGTGATAGATTTGGAATCTCAAAATCAATTCCGGATGAATGAACAGTCCAAAGTTGGGAAAAAATAGAGAAAACTACCGAATATTTGCCTAAGAGTGAAAATCACTTGCGTCGGATTCTTCTTCTTCTTTTCTTGGCTGCCCTTTGTTTTCATACTACATTTCCAATCACCTTGTTATATTGTTTAGTTACGCTCCTACGAATTAAACTTTGCTTTTTGTTTGTTCGATATAAAATAACTCTTTCATCTGTACTTATATTTAGCTCGCGTCACCAACAATTTGTGGCCTTCATACCATTTGGGAAGAATGATTATGACTCTTTGGTCTGCAGATTGAATATGTTTACGAAAGTGGAGAGGTATCGTTCCAGGATGGTGCTTCTGTCCGTGCTGATATTATTCTCCACTGCACAGGGTATTATCCCTACTTTTTCCCATTTCATTATTCATTTTTCAAGATGTAAAATAATATTTGGCACATTTTTACAGGTTCAACTATGATTTTCCATTCCTAGAAACAAATGGAATCGTAACTGTGGATGATAGACGGGTTGGGCCCCTTTACAAGCATGTTTTCTCCCCAAAACTAGCTCCTACCCTCTCTTTTATTGGAATACCTTATGCGGCGAGTTGAATTTATGAGCATTTCTGAATTACTTTTTCATTTTATAATTGAGTTAAAAATTTTAGTTTAACGTAAAAAAATTCTTGAAAAAACAGGTGGTTGTATTCCATATGGTAGAATTTCAAGCAAGGTGGGTGGCGAGTGTTTTATCCGGTAAGGTACTTTTACCTTCTGAAAAAGAGATGTTGATCAATATCGAAAAGCATTACCAGCATATGGAGGAAGCCGGTAGACCCAAATACCAGACTCATAGCCTACATTTTGATGAGGTTTCCATCATTATTTAACTTTCCCTATATTTTTAGCGCACGTAATATATATTTGTCATTTGATGAGGGTAAATGTGTGCTTCTTACCAGTTTGGGTACCTAGATTGGCTAGCTGCCCAAGTGGGAGAACCAGGAATGGATGAAGGACTCAAAGAAATATTTAGGACGCTTTTCAAATTTTTTGCTGATAAAGGGTGGGCTGGGTTCAGAGAATTGTTTCTGGAAAATTGTGTCCATAAAAACTAGGTCTACAATGAGATAAGAGAGCACTTGTGATAACCCTCGAGTCATGCCACTCTCAATTTAAATATTTTGTTATTTCTTGTAATTAATGTGACATGTTTGGTAACATGATTAAGATTTAAAAAAGTTATTAATTAAAAAAGTAAATTATGTACATTGCATTTTCAGATTCTATTCAGTATTGTGTACTAAATATATGTTTATTTCACCATACCAAACAAAGACATCATAGTATCTATGTAAACCAACACAATTCTCATTGTAAAATGTCATTTGTTTTGTTTTATATATGCATCGGGGTGTTATTTCTAATACATTTTAGATACCTTATAAGTTTGCAAAGTTGGTTACCGTTTTCCTAGTATTCATAAATCGAGGCAAGCAAATTAATGATTGCCATTATTTGGAATTACGGATATATAAATTCGGAAGATGAGCATGTTTAGCTAAGGGTTTGTTTGATTACAAAGGTGAAAAATTGATGGAAAGAAAATGTTTTACTGAGAATTGAATTTTCTAAAATTCGTTTTACTGGGAATTGTAATTAATTGTGTTTGATTTGTATAATTTTCCATTTGAAAAATGTTGAAGGTTTGGTGTCCGTTTGACTTTGTTTTTCATGAACATTGTTCATTAATCATAATTTTTCTACCATTGGGTCTAAAATTTGTTCAAATTGCCAAAAAGAAAAAAAAAATTTAAAAATTATCATACAGAATACAATTCGTTTGGCTTTGTTTTACATGAAAATTGTCAATAAAAGTGAGAAATATTTTTACCGTTGTGTTTAGAAGAATTTCCAATTGCCAAAAAAAAAGAAGCAAAAACAAAAAAAAAGCTGGAAAACNGGAAAAAGTGTCATCGAACAGGAGAAAAATGGTGGAAATGGAAAACGTTTTCCATTTTCTAGGGAAAAGTGGTGTATTAAACACACCATACGTTCAAAATTTTTACTTGTTTGTAAATTCGAACTATATAGTTTGTCTTCATGATTGAAGGCATAATATTTTACACCATCATATCTATACATCAAAATCTCTTTTCTTAGTAATAGAATTGATCTGGGCAAGATAAAAACTTCTCACTATTAACATTACAAGAGAACTATAATTAAGGTTTATGTCAACAGTAAAAAGTTTTTATCCTACTCACTAGGGGACAAGAGATCAAGATTGTTCATAGTAATACCTAAGATATATGGACACCCTTTTAGGGACGACGTATCAGTATTTGATGTTCAACATTAACACAATATCGACATATACAAAGGCCAACTCGAGTCCAAGTCGATCTAGTGGGGGTCGAAAAAACACTAATTTTTTTTCTCGATTTCAGTTTTAATCCTTACTTACAACAAACACGACTAAATGCAATACCTGGAATGTTAAACAAGACTCGGTCCTTTTTAAGTTCAGATCAAAATAAGCAGATTTGATCTAACAAGGTAAATAAGTAATTGGTCCAAACTGAACCCTGGGGAAAAAAAAAATCAATTACCCGGAATTCAGTAATACAGAAAAGGCCTAAGTTGATTAGTAAAAAGAAAATACCTCGAATTACTGAGAAAAAATCAACGAAAGAGTCGAAACATCATCCACAAGAACGACGTCATCCGAACAAAGAATTACAGCTTTGCTTAATCCACAGTCTTTATGTCCTGTGGATGAAGTACCCAACCAGAATACCTAGTAATAGACTAACCAGCACTACAAACATGGAGGCACTACCACCAGCTCGGGTTTTATCTGTTTGTCTCTTCAGCAGTTCCTTTCCAATGAAAATAAAGAAAGCTTAACAAAATGAAAATGTGCTCGCCTTGTATAACATGAAACATGTTTAGAAAGTCTTTCAACAAATTGGTTTTGGCGTCGAAATTGGCAAAAACACTTGATCTTTTAAGAACTTTTGCATTTAGAAGGAGCAAGTTTAGAGAATCATCCTTTTTGGTAATTTGGATGACAAAATCAATGAATTATACAGTGTCAACCTCTATAGACAAAACTTCCACACCCCACAAGAAAAAATGGAAATGAACTCGTTTCTGTTTTCATATTCTTCACTTTTTAAACCATTTTTAACTCTTAAAATGCAATTGGGAATTACTACCTCATAATAGCTCTGAGTCTTAATTTCTTCCCGATTTAGGAATGTTTGGACTAAAAACGAAAATAATGTTGCCGAGAGATAATGAAAGTCATTCTTTGATGCCTAACTCAATGGATCCATTACTGTTGACCATTAGGTTTTAACCAAGAAATTTTGAAGAAACTAATAATGCCATACTTCAGGTAGTAAAGAGCCTACAAAATGGGGCGTATTTGTGTAAAATAGGAAGTTACTAAAAATTTACTTTTTCTATTCAGTCAAAGCCTAACATCAATTTCTACCACAAATTTACAATTACTACCATTTCGTGGGACCTAAAACTATTCCTCCTAAAAAAGTTATTAATAATTTTACCCGAACACTTGTATTGAATCCAGAAACTAATAATTATGACCTACTCAACTTATGCAAACATGCTTCTTGTTTGGCTTGTTAAGAATTGGGGTTTCATCTCAAAAAGGTCAACCTTATTAAGAGGAGTAAGTGAGTAACCCAATCCTTTATAAGTTAGTTTATGTTTACATTTTTATTCGATATGAGATTCTATTCCTTAACATGCCCCCGCAAGATGGTGGCTCTTTTGAGCAGACCAATCTTAAAATTCGTACACTCACTTTTGGAGTTTTAACCGGATCGAATTGCTCGTTAGAACTTAATTGGCTCTAATACCATGTTAAGAATTGGGGTTCGGGTTCCATTTTAAAAGGTCAACCTTATTAAGAGAAGTAACTCAATCTTTTATAAGTTGGTTTATATTTACATTTTTATTCGATGTGAGATTCTATCTCTTAACATTGCTAATCTTAAAAATAAGTTCAAAGTACTTTTTAAGTAATTTTTTCCTTTTATGGGGGAAGCAAGGTCTTCAGCAGGAGCTCTCATTCAAGTGTAAAGTCGTTAAGAACATACCAATTCCTCCTGGAGCTTCTTATTTTGTTGAATAGCAGAATCTTTCTCCTCAGTCACCTTTGAGATCATAGACCTTGCCTATAGACAAAAGATATTCCAAAAATTACAACTCCAGTTTCAATATGAAACGAGAAACAATAAGAAAAATTGAAGCAAAAAAATCATGAAACGTCTAAACTCAACTTAACTATACAGTCATCCAGAACAAAATAGCAGTAAAATGGTAACATAATACAAACAAAGGTAGTTTCATATTTTGCACAATAATGTACTAAACCACAATCACTCAGCTTATAAATAAAAAAGAAATACCTAGAAGGAAACAAACATCGACGCAGCCATTCCGGACATAATTAGAAAAACACGAGGAATCCTTTTGTATGGTGAATTAATTGCACGGTTTGCTAAGATTAAAAATTTACTTACCAGTAAATAAGTTTTAAGTAAATATATATCAAAGTTGGAAATAAGTTATTTTGAAAGTAACCTCCACCTCATTCTTTAAAAAAAAAATAGGAACTTTTCTACTTATAAATTAGAAAAAAGTTAACTATCCAAATATGTTTAGAAACAAAAAGTGACTTAAAGAGTAAGTTTTAAGCTTCGGCAAACATTTTGTTAAGTCCATGCATAATGAAAGATTTAAAGCTGAGCCTCCATTCTAATCTAGAATGAAGAAACAAGAACGTCCTGTTTCAGCAGAATTTACGGAGGAATTTGCCAAAAAACAAAGAAGAAAATAAGAAAGCACCTGAATCTACAAAGTTTTCTACTAAACCAGATCGTGCCGATTTCACATTATATATATATCTTAATTATATCTACAAATATATGTCAACAAAATGTTAGAATATCAGTTGATCAAAATCCAAAAATTTCAAAAGCATTATATAGAGCAACCAGATGTCTTCGACCATTTCAATAGGTAATTGCTTTCAACTTCAATCAATGTATCTGAACACGTCATTTTACAAAGCCACACAGTATGATGAGGAGACACTAAGATCTCCACCAATGTGTCAATATTAAATTAAACCTTCTAACAACATTTAATATTTTAAGAGTAACTCTCAATGAAAAACTTTCTTGTGGACCCAATTCAAATTAAGGAGTAGTTGGTAATTAGTTCATTTTGATTATAGTAATAAATTTTGAATTAAAGCCTCTTGAAAAATAAGTTTTTATTCAGAATTAAAGTTCTTTCTCCTTTTTATTTCATTTCATTAGTAATATGTTTCAAACATAGTCTGATATGGATTAAATACAATGCAAGCTTTCTAGGGGAAAGAGTCGTCAACATGAGAGCCATGCAAAAGAACCAACGTTTTTATGAAGAAAGGTTTTTACTTAATGAAGTGGTTTAATGGCAAATAACATATGGATTGTGCTAAACTATACAAGGTTGTCATAATAATTTGTTATATTGGAGCCGGCTTCAATGAACAATATGGAGAACTGGGTTACCATTCTGCAGCAGATTTCAATCAATACCTTTCATCAGAACCATTAAAAATACTCCTGTTCTATAAGAGACAATAGCTAGTAATTTCTTTAGCAAAAATTTATCGACCCTATGCAACTTCAAAATCACAGTCATAAACTAGTGTTTGACAAAGTCTACAGCTATATCAATACATTTGACAAGGTGCTTTACAACCATGATATCAGATTGATACGACCTGAACTATTCATGGACTTCATACTTTATATAACATAATTATTTATCAATATAACTGCAGAATTTGGAATAAGAGTCGCAAAAATAATTGCTCACCTCGGGTGATGATAATTTCTCATGGGATTTGTCCAACCATCTTGTTACCTAATAAATTCGTAGACAGTGAAACATTTGTGCCCAAAGTTGAGTAGATGGAAGAAGGAATGCAATAAGAACTTACAGCCTCAGGTAATGAAGATGTTCTATTATCATCCTCCACTGAAGATGTTCTTGGAGAACCTTCTTCATCTCCTTCGGGTACAGGGGAGGGCGGATTAGCAGGAATGTAGACAACCCTCAATTTAAACTCATTGACGATCTTGTCGTCCTTCCTGTGAAACTACTTAAAAGATTAACTGAACAATTAATTCCAAGCAAACTACTATGTTAAAGCAAGCTTCATAAATCATTTTTTATTGAAAACTAACCATTTCCACGGTTAAATCCTTGTTTGTTGTGCCCCTGGGAGCAACAACACTCTGGATTAGAAACTTGTCCTTGCACTGCATATCAGCAGGCGCCTCTTTGTGTGCTTGCATTGTAACTATTGATCTCGAAATATAAAAACAAAAATGTGAGTAATCCAATCCTATACTAAACACATGAAAATCGGAAAATCATTAAATCAATACCGGTGACATTGCATACAGAATTGGGCAAGACAACACCGGCATTGGGTCGAACACAGTACCTCTTGGGGCTGGTTGTTTTGACCTTTTTCAATTAAAAATCCATTAATCAAAACAATGATATAATTATCATCACATGCCGATAAGAGAGTCCAACCTATTTAGTAATCTGCAATAAAACAAGAAAATTACCTTGAATGCAATGTACTGATCAGTCTTATTAGTCAACTGCATAGAACATGAACTCTGCTTTCTCAATTCATCTTCATCATCACATGCCACAAAAACAATGAATCCCAACATTAAAAATCACACCAAAGAGAGAACAAATTTTACGTCTCCCTACTGGGATAAAACGCATAAAAAAAATTTCATCTTCAATCAATAAAAACCTCAAACAGCAAAAGCCCACATCAAAAGAACCTTAACAAAACCATTACAACATAGTTTAAAACCAAATTAGAAGAAAAATATTATAATAATAAACAAAAAAAAAAAATCGACTAACATGGGAACTTGAGTTCCGAGGGTTGAATATAGAGAAAATCGCCCATACTCGTTATCTCAGAATTTTTTTTTTGTATTGATCAATTAAATAAATATAACACGCGTACACACACTAAATCACGGAGGACAAATGGGGAAACTGAAATTTTGAAATTTAGGGTTTTTTTTTCTGGGATCTGTAATTTATTATAGGAAATAAATGAATGAAGCTAATTATTTTTTTAAGAAAAGGTGGGCAGCTAAAAAATTTCATTTTCAACTGCTTTGTCAATTATCATCAGAGCAGGCTTCTTGTCCATATTCATTCCAATCTACGCTATAAAGCTCAACTTCTTAGTCAATTTCTTTGGATGAAGCTAGCTAACTTATTACATGCATGTATAACAATATTTTAATAATCAATCAAGAGTCTTGAATTGACGTTGAACTTATCGTAAGAAATAGTAATAATAACAACATAAACAAAATTTTAGCGTGAGCCGAGGAATTTTGTTTGCGAACAAGACATTTTATTTAGCAATCGGGTCAAGTTTTGTGATGAGTCGACCGGTTCTTAGGTGGATTTAATGGTTTCGAAATTTTTCAAAGTTTCGACACAAAAATTGCAAGTATAGATTCCTCTCTTTTTTTATTGACGAAATACAATAACCTCTCGTAAAATGTTCGCTGGTAGTCTAATGTAGTATACAATTTAGGCTAAGGTTGGGTTTTGAGGGTTAACTCACATGTGAAGGTTTTGTGCAAATTGTTAATACCTAGGTTTAGTTTTATGTAATGAAGCTCATTAATCATTATTGTTTGTTGTTTGCCAAAAGAATAAGACTACCCTAAAGTAATTTCACTTTAGAAAACTTTAATTTAAAATAAGTAAATAATAACACATTTTAGAAACGAATGTCGTCGTAAATGAAGTCGATACATCCAATCAACAAATTTAATTATCAAAATCCGTGTTAACTTGTCACGAGATTTTCATTGAAGCACGACTTGCTTCATATTTTAAGACGCCAATATGGGTTGAGAAGTAAAAAATAGCTTCATAAATCGGATATGTAAGGTGACATTGATTTAACCAAAATTTGAACGGTTTCCACTATGATAAAAAAAAATACTGATTGTGAGATTATACTAAACTATTTGAGAACAACTTATTTTAAACGTTGATACTAACTAGTGTAGATGCAATAAGTTGGAGACCAACTGTTCGAAAAGTACAATGTTTAAAGATTTTCGACATTGGCTCGTATTGGTGGCGCGGGTTATAGGACTTTAGGTTCTTTAGCTTCTAGACCATCATGTAGATGGGAACGGTTGAGAATGATGTCAGAGAAACAATGTAGCCTGTTGTTTTTTTATTTGGTGTAACGTCTCGTACTTTTTATAATTAATTTATAGCCTTATGCACTATATGTAAGTGAAATTATTCTAAAATATGAAGGGTATGTTTGGAAATAATGAAAATATTTAATTTTTATTAGAGTAATTATATTCACATCACAATTTTTATTTTTAAATCACATTTTAGTTGTACTTAAAGTTTTCAATCTTTACTCATTATAACACTTATTCCCTAACATTTTTTTCATAGCATTCTTATAACCAATTTTCTATTAACACGTTTCGTATTTGGTAATAATTTCTATCAAAAAAGTCTATTGAGAGGACATATTACGACTTATTTTATCATGTTTTTTAAAAAATAAATAAATACAAAAGTATGATCAAATATTTCCTTCATTTCAAAGTATGAAAATAGAATATTTTGATAGAAATCATCATCAATAACGAAATATGCCAAATTAATCCTTTCTTTTTTCAACTGATTAAATGCCTCAAAAATGTTTATTAAACTCTCTTTACTAAACTTATTTCGGCCCAATTAAAAAGAGTCCTAATTGGATCCGTAATGCGGTAAGACTTGGGTCACAACTAACACGGTTCGGGTTGAGTCATGATAAGTTGTGAATTTAATTTCAAAAAAAATAATAATAATAATAATTTGATTTACTTCCCTAAAAGACAAATCAAGACGAGCCTGTCTAAGTTCACGTCAACTGGTTAATCACTGTTATAGTGCGCGATAAATATTTTTCTACGTATCAGATTGATGATAGAATACATCCGTCCTTGTTGATAGCAATCGCTTAAGATGGTGGAACATACAATAAGTTTCACAAAATGTGTAAATAAAAATTAAGTTCGATGAAAAAATATTTATAAAGTAGATAACAAATTTTTAAAAAGAAATTCAGTTCAGGATAATTATACGTATACTTAGCCCCTGTTTGATTGACATTATTTTCCAGGGAACTAGGAAAATATTTTCCACCTTCCATTTTTTTGACTGTTTGATAGGCGAAATTTTCCACCTTTAGCCCACACGTGTGCATTTTTCANGATGAAAAAAATGATTTTTTAGGAAACAATTTTTTTTTCCTTTTTTTTTTTTTGACTTTTTGGCAATGGAAACAAATTTTATAACCAATTGTGGAAAAAAAATCATTTTAATGGACAATTTTCATGTAAAACAATGCCAAACGAATAGAAAATTTAAAAAATTTCCGGGTGGAAAATTATACCAATCAAACACACTTGAAATCATTTTCCCTACAAAATATTTTCTAGGTAAATTTTTTTCCTATAAAATATTTTTTTTTCACCAATTTTTGACCTTTACAATCAAACGCACCCTTAGCTTTAACTGACTGACTACATTTTAATTACTTCAATCGGGTAAGTCCTAGTTCTGTCATTTGAAACGATGTGACAGTCATCATTTATTTATCTTACCTCAATCTATTTTCGAAATTAGGAGTAGGGTAACTTCAATTATGGTCTGTCATGATTAAAAATTGGACATGTAGGCTCTGTTTGATAGTGTTTCTTTTTCGTGGAACTAAGAATTAGTTTTTCATTTTCCACATTTTTGCTTGGCAAAATTTTCTTGGCAAATCGTTTTCCACCAAATCTCGTTTTTGGTCATTTTTCTTGATTTGTGAGGAAAATCAATTCCCACCAATTTGGTGGGATTTGGTTTTCCAGGCTATTTGTTTTAAAAAAGAAAAAAAAATTTGCAATAGAAATAAATTTTATTCAATTAATGGACAATTTTCATGTAAAATAAAGCCAAACGAACACAAAAAAAAAAAAAAATCAAAATTTCAATATTTTCCAAGTGAAAAATTATACTAATCAAACACAATTAATTGACAATTTTCAGGAAAACAATTCTATGCTATTCAATTCCCTAGAATTCATTCTCTTTCCATCCAAATTTCACTCTTACAATCAAACGGACCTGCAGTGTTGTGATCGAAAATGGAGTGGTACAAAATCATCGTCAAAGATATTTAATTTGTTGACTCAAAACTATCAGTAAATTTGTCTTCCAGTTGGTACGACTTTTAAATTTTAATTTGAATGACTTAGGAGACACGATTCATTTTTAAAATTTTAATCACTAGAAAAGTTGTAACTGATACAAACCGTTGAGCAAACTTTCCACCTTTAATATCTCAAAATCTATTTTGTTAACACACTTTTCCGCCTTCAAATTTTTAGGAGAGGAGAATTTGAACATAACGGCATCTCAACCGACTTGATGTGATGAATTAGAAAATTAACTTTTTTTTCTTTTCAGGTTCCGCGTCTTCTATATAGCAAATTATGGAATACATAGAAGATGCTTGAAGGGTTCAGACCTTGCCTAGTCATCGAAACCCCAACAACTTAACCCCTGTCGATTCAAGATTGTCGACTAGTTTGAGGAGGCACCTCGTGTTAGTTCCACGTCTCTAAACCTCAAGGCCTAAACAATCAATTTGTTTCGAGTTCTTCTAATATTTTCATTCTCTTGAAAGATAAATCAAAATATAAAAAGAAATAACCTAATGACAACTTGATCTATGTTGGGTTCACATTTTTCACACCAAGTAAGACTAGACTGGCTCGACAAAGAACACCGATCGCAATCAATCACCAAGGGTTGTGTACTCGTGGTCGAGGCACTTGAACCCGCGTTGGAACCGAGAATCAACAAGGGCACCGTAATTAACAAATTTCTCTATTATCACCAGCTTTTATCTGTTCATAGGAAAACGAGACAACATGTTTATAGAGATGAGTCAAGTGGAGCATAAATTTGTAGACCTAGGTCACTGAGCAGCAGAGCCGCCACATATGCCTATTTTAATTTATTTTTTTATCAACAAAATTAAACCAAAAGAAAGAAAAAAATAAAATAAAAAAACTTTACCTAACGTCTCACAAGACCACTCTGGTTTCACACTGGCGGCACGAACAAATTGATCCTTGCAACTTTACACCTAAATTAGGGAAAATTGTAGCATGGCCCCAAATGTTTCATTTTGTTGCAAAATATACCTTAAACCTTTTATTTTTACGGCTGCAGTCCCAAATCTTTTACTTTAATAGTAGTCGGAGTCAATTGAATGGATTACATCCAGAATCCCGTTAGTCAACACTGGAATTGAAATTTTGACTCAAATTGAATGATTAAATGATGGGTTAAATAGTCAACTTATATTTCTATAATTAAATAAAAACAAAATAAAAATGAACTTCGTCGTCTCCAAATCACCCCATCCCCACTTCCAACTTCAAAATAAAAAACTAGAACTCGGTGAATTCTTACTACCAACATCAACCATTGCTTCCACATGAACACCGCCCTACCACTGTTAGGGGTGGGCAAAAAACCGACCGACCCGACGAAACCGACCGAACCGACCCAAACCGCCCAGTTTGGGTTGGTTTTTTGTTATTTTTGGGCGGTTTTTGGTTTTCGGGTCGGGTGGTCGAGTCGGGTAGGGTCGGTTCGCAGGTTGGCACCGTGAACCGGATATAACCCGACCCGACCCAACCCGAAAAAAAAAA